AGGGAGGTGGTGCAGGCTCCTACCCTGGGGGTTTTTAAGAAGAGGTTAGATGAACACCTTGCTGGGGTCGTTTGACCCCAGTACTCTTTCCTGCCATGGCAGGGGGTCAGACTAGATGATCTTCTCAGGTCCCTTCCAACCCTAGAAACTATGAAACTCCATTAATACAACATGCAGAAGTTATTTATAAATTTGACTTCTGGTTTCATTGGAAAGCCCAAGGTCACACCAAACAGATAGCCCTGGACAGGACACTGTTCTGTTTCCTGTTTCTGTTATTGGTAGAAGTGCTAGCTACCCCTTTGGAAAATATGAAACAATTATCATTATTCAGCACTCTCCCCCAGCTGCCTTATGGCTTAAACAGCATATATTTGAGACTGTTGTTTAGACAGCATAACCCCTCCAGCACAACTCTTCTTTTCAGAGGCAGAAGTTTATCCTGGATGTCTCTTCCAAACTCCCGCAGATATAATCTTACTAAAATGTATACTGGTAACAATATATAACCAAATACTTTGAGGACATGGTGACATTTAAAACTAATATATGCAAGAGATAACTGACAAAAAAGATCCCGTAGAGTAAGCAATATTTTCCTCAATCAATAATAGGAAAAAAAAGAACTTGATGTAACCCCAACAAAATGTATTTGGTGTTTGACTTACATAAACATTTGTGCTGCCAGAATTGCATTTGGCAGCAGAAAGAAAAGGCATGAACAATCTCTGACTAATACAATTATTTTTGATTGTGCTGAGTGTTCAAGCCTGGGCCTATATTAGTTAAATTTCAGTTCAAAGTCCAACACTGTATGGATTGGCTGTGGATCATTTATGTGATTCAGCATGCCTTCTGGAAAGAGTTAGGCTAACCTTTCATTTGCTTAAAACAAAAAATCAACTATAAAAATGTCCTCTCTCTGCATATATTATGAAACATGATTCTGAAAACCATGTGCTCTCTATACTGGATGTTTCTGTAAGAAACTAGTAGTATCTCAAGAAAAAGGTTTTTGAACTAATGTTCTGTAACTACAGAAGTAACATATTCATTTATCACGGTCATTGAAGAAAGACTGATGTTACATATGTTTATGCCAATATTTAATTTTTAAAGTTAATGTGGAGTTGTGTGGGCCTCAAGGAACTCTTTGTAGGATCAGAAACAGGGAAAGGCACCCAGAGTAAAAATTTCAAGTGTGCCAGTGATTTAGGAAACTAGGTAGCAAATTAAAGTCAGTGGGACTTGCATGCTTTCCTGAACTTTACTGCCCATATCTATTTTCTCAGTAAGCCATCTTT